GGGGTTTTGACAATTTCGGGTTCAACCCCTAAACCCAAAACCCTAAACCCCAAACCCCAAACCCTAAACCCCAAACCCTAAACCCCTAAACCCTAAACCCTAAGCCCTAAATCCTAAACCCCACACCCTAAACCCTGAACCCTAAACCCAAACGGTTCAGGGGAATATATGCCAGGATGTGCTCGGCAGGGGGTTGGAAAAAGGCTTTTTGACAGATTCTAGAGTGATTCGAGTGGGTTTGCCAACTGTTTTAGGGTTTAGAGTTTAGGGTTTAGGGTTTAGGGTTTAGGGTTTAGGGGAGTTATGGGGTTCATCAGCTTGTTAAGGCGTTGTTTTAGTTTTCATTTGGGAGTTACTAGAGTTTTGGTGAAGGCGTCAGCGTTCCCTTGGTTGTGCACTGGGTCCTTGTTTAGACGTCAGTCACTCTTTGTGCCCATCTTAAGGTTTAAGCAAAGAGCCTGAACAAGAACCCAATATAGGTTTCAAAATAGGTTTTGGGGCCTAGGGCCTAGGGTTTATTGGGGTTTAGGTTTAGGGTTTAGGGCTTCAGGGTTTTAGGGCTAGGGGTTTGCAGAGTTTTGGATGGGATACTCGGTTTTGGGTCTGCAGGGCCTAAGCGCAGGCTTCCAAAGGATCCGAAACAGGGAAGCCTGAACCAAGACACCATCGACCCTAAACCCTAAACCCTAAACCCTAAAATGGTGCTAGGCCTTGGGAACTGGGATTCTTTGAGAGTTTGGGCTTGTGACTTTCCCAGCCCCAGAACCGTTGATGTCCTTGATCAGTCTCCTAAACCCTAAACCTTAAACCTTAAACCGTAAACCCTAAACACGTGCTGGCCCCAGACCCGAAAGACGCACTCTCTGCCTGAAATCCAAAAGGCAGAGACCCTAAACCCTAAACCCTAAACCCTAAACCCTAAACCCTAAACCCTAAACCCTAAACCCTAAATCCTGCAGGCATTAAGTCGCAGACCAAAAGGGAGAGCCCAAGAGGCAACGTAATCAAGGACTACACCTGAAACCATTCGATTAATAAGGCCCCTATAACTTGAGGTATGTTCCTTCATTAAGGGGCGTTGAGCTCTTTGAGTAGCTTTTGCGGTTTAGAGCTAGTCCGAATATGGGTTATAACTATGGTCACTCTACTTATAACCAGCCATCAATCTCCAACTCAGGCCCTCATTCCCACAATCTCCACCTGACATGGAAACAAGAAAGGGCTTAGGGCTTAGGGTTTAGGGTTTAGGGTTTAGGGTTTAGGGTTTAGGGCTTAGGGTTTAGGGCAGAGGCTCGCAGATGGCTGCTGTGCCGGCTGTTGGATGGGCTTGTGGCCGCGGAAGAAAAGAAGACATCATCGACACTACACGGCCCTGAAAAACTACCAATATTGTTCCTGCAGGGTTCTTTTATATATTATACACACCTATACTTCGTTCTCATATACCCAACACCCTTACTACGGTCCCTACATAATAACAGAACACAGAAAGTTGGAACCTTCGTGTCCTCATGCCCCTGAAGCAAGGCATCGTGTAAACCCGTAGAGAATCCAACCGCGCGACCAGTACAAAAATCATACGACAATAGGGTTTAGGGGTTAGGATTTTAGGATTTTAGGGTTTTAGGGTTTGGGGTTTTGGTTTGAGGGTTTAGGGTATACTCATGATGAAGGCCCTTCTATACTATTTTGCCTAGAGGTTCACGTGTATTTGTGAACAGGGTTTTAAGTTTCACCAATATGAGTGAAAAAGTATGGTTACCCTACTTATAGCTTCACATATAACTACCCCTAAACCCTAAACTCTATAGAACCCTTTAAAGGAACCCTTAAAGGAACCGCTTCACTCACCATGAAGTTCCAAGCAAGCCATGCTGCAACTTTCGGGAGTTTCCGTGCAACTCCGAATTTCATAGCCTAAACCCTAAACCCTAAACCCTAAACCCGCAAAAGATGTTTAGTAATTGTGCCATCCCTTCCTATCACCGTTTCTTGAAAACATCGGGCTTGGGTTTGGGGTGTTCAGGGTGCGGGGTGTAGGGTTTAGGATGCCAACCATGAGATGCAGAAGTGGCAATCCTGATGCTGATCCGTGATTTGGACCCTAAGCCCTACACCCTAAACCCTGAACCCTAAACCCTAGTCCCAAGCGCCATCCTCCCTCTTCGCGCCCTCGTCGTCGGCAACCATCACACCACCACAGGGTCATGATCATCCACATAACCAGCATGGTCATCATCTTCATCCTCACCTGCATTCCTAAACCCTACATCCTAAATCCTGAAGCTCCAAGCCCATCAGTCTTATCCCCTGAAAGCACTAACACCCCAAGCCCAAGCGTAGAAAAATAGAAGCAGCAAACCACAAGAGCCCTACGCCCGAAGAGCCTAAACCCTAAAACCCTAAAACCCTAAAGCTCTAAAACCCTAAAGCCCTAAACCCTCTAAACCCTCTAAACCCTAAAACCCGAAACCTCTCGTTCCTTTTGTGCTTTGTTGTGCCTCAGCGACTGGCGGACTGTCTGAGTCGTTCTAGTAAGTAATCTTGCAA